TTATCCACCACTCCTAACCATTAGGTGCGGAAATCCTCAATGTTTGCCCCTATTTCTAAGGGAACTTTAACGAAAAGCTCCCGGTACTGTTCACTTTAACAAAAAATCACATTTTTACACTAAAAAGTCAATCCTGGTTGTGGATGCAAATTTCTGCCTTCTTCTTCTTGGACAAAATTGCACCTACCAAATAATTAACACCTTAGGGTCAAGGCCAAGAGCCTCACGCCCCCACGATGAATGGGGGGGGCTTTGGCTGAAGAACCTCTGATGCCAAAGTTAAAATTTAGAGAGAAAAAGTGTTTAGAGAGTTTTTGGAGTTTTGCAAGAGTGTGAACCTCCCTTTTTGGAGAAAATGGGGTAACTTATATAGAGTACAGCCACTCCGCTTTGGGGAAAAGGTGGCCGGCCTTTTGGATGTTTTTTGGGTGTTATTTGGTTTTTTAATTAGTAATTAATATATTGATTAGGAATAAATATATTAATTGGCTAATTAACATAATAAAAGGAATGTTTTTGGGAGGTTATGGAATGAATAAAATAAATAGCTAATTGATTAGCTAAAAAAGGGAAAGTGAGGTAAAAAATATATGGAATGAAATAGGTTTTGGGAGTTACCTTGTAGAAGGGATTTGATGAGATAGGTTTTGAATTGTTACCTACTTTGGGCACTTTTGATTTAGTTGAAGGATGATTGCCCGCTGCTCAAGCGTAGAAATCCCGTTGTACCTTAAAGGTATTTTTGTCCTCTTTTATCCAAAAATCCACGTGTCGCCTTGTAATTATTTTTGGCTCCACAAATGCCCCACACCTATTGGGCTGCTCCTAGGAAAGAGCAGCAGGTGTAGAGATCTTCTTGCTTTAGGAAACATAGGGCTGCTTCCTTTTTTGATGTAGATTCCCTCTTTAATAGGAAATTAGATCCTTTTAGGAAAGAGAAATAAATTTCTCTCAAAATCTATTTAAGTCCACCTTAAGTGGGTTATTAAATCAACTTTGGAGAGCGATTTACTCTACCCTACAAGAGAGAGAGCTTAGAGGATATTTGTTCCCCCTCCTCTAGCAATCTTCTACATCTTACCAGTGCAAAGGACCGTCTTTCGTTAATTTCTTCGTCTTCTTCGTGCCGCACCAATGTAAGAAAAAATTAATTTTTCTTATCTTCTTCTTGGATAGTGATGTTGTGGGGCAGCCGTCGTGGTGGTACAACACGTCGGCTGGTAGGAGGAGTCAGCTCGGCATGGGGCTGAGGAGGTGTTATGGTAGGGACCACTGCTTTAGGCTACTCAACTTGGCTAAAGCCATAGACAGCTTGTACGGTTGGGACCGCAGATTGAAGCGCTGAAATGTAATGTTAGGTGAGCCGCATGGTTCATGTCTTTTAGGCTCTTAGACCTGACGCAGTCCAGGCTAACAATTGAAAGAAATGAAAAGGTCGCAGGCCTCATGAGCTGCTGAAATGTTGGGCATACAGGCCTCTTGCCTACTGGAATGCTAGGTTGAGCTCCCCTGCTGAGTACCGTGAATGGTGTTGGCTGCTTAATTCTCTTCACCGGGAGAAATGTGGACTGCTCCTGAAAGATGAGGTAAAGAAGATCAAGGTGGATGCATTGGCTCATCTGATCGCTATCTTGAAGCCTACTATAAATGAAGGTGGAAAGAAGAGATCTTCCCCACCTGCTCAAGATATGCATGCCTATTGAGAAAAACTGAAGACTTCCTCCGCTGCTTATGAGGGTTTGCTTGCTGCCGAGATGCTTGTGATTGACATAACTTCTTCCAATGGGAAAAAAAATGAGGCTTCTAGATCTGAGCCTGTGGCACCTGCCATGTCGAGAATGGCTAGTACGATTGCTGACAGGACTGCTCAGCGTAAGGTCCTGTCATTCCCTAAATGCCGAAGTCTGTACCAAGATGTTTGTTGGGAACTAAGTCTGATTCACCTTTGGAGAGGCTTGCTACTATGAATAGTGATAAGGTGGACTCTGCTGCTAAAGTGGCGCCAAGGCCTACTCTTTTTGCTGCTGAGACTGATTCGCCTGTTAAGAATGAGGAGACTGTTCGCGTGGGTAGCTGTGAGAAATCTACTAAGCCTGCTTCTGGGGAGGTTGCTGAGATCTGTGTGCTTTTGAATCTGGATCTCCTTGAAAACATGAATGTTTGTGCCAAGTTTGTTGATGGCGGTAGAAAGGTTGTTTGCCCAAGTTCCTTTGCGAAGCATATGACCCAATATAGAATGATTGCTCTGCTCGCTATGATGCATATATAGCAAGGCTGCCAAGGTGGTGGCGAAGACTATGGCAGCTGAAGCTTATTCCTCAGCCGAGGAAATCAAGAGTTGGATTCTGAGCTTGTTGCTTTGAAGGGGTCTAATATTTCTACCCCCACTTCTCTACAGCTTGAGATCACTCCCCATGAGATCGTTGACTTGAAGACTAAGCTTGATGCGATCCAAGTTAAGTATGAAAGTGCAGAGAATGAGATTGGATGTTACATACCTCAGATTCAAGATCTTCAGTTTGTAGTTTCTGAGCTACGTTTCGTTGCTTATGCAAAGGATGAAGAGTTGATAGCTGCTTATAATCAAGTGATCCACTTCAAGAGAATCGTCGATAGGCTTAAACCCCAAGTGTTGGAACTTCAAGGTGTACTGAAGATCAACGAAAGTTTGAAGAAGGAAGTGGATGAGCTACAACGAGTCCATGTTGGTCTGCTTGAGAAGAATGAGTAGCTGAAAGGTAAGAATGATAGGCTTGAGGTTTCAAGACCTTCTCTATTTCTCTGAAATAATTGCTTGCTTTTACTTTTGAGGCTTCCATTGGTGAAGTAGTTGGAGAAGTTAATGCCCAGGCTGGGGTAGCCAGGGGTGAAGCGTCACATGATGCCGTTGCTAAGAGCATCGCGGCTACTGAAGGTGTGACGACTGAGTAGTCGTAGGATGTCCAAGCTACTGTAATCTTCTAGGTAGCTTTTAGGATTTTATTTGTTTTTCCTTGTAGCTCTTGTTTTATTTGAACTCCTTCGGCCTTTGCTAATTGTTTATAAACATGCTTCCTTCGCTTTTTCTCATCTTCGCTTCTTTTGCTCATGCCCTAACCTTTAGACTTGATAGACCAGTGGCAGGCATGCTACTTTTTTATAAGTAGACAAGCTCGCGTAGCCTATGCAGCCGTAGGTGTTGGTGTAGAACTTTGCAAAGTTGTTAGCCATAGGGTAGGCAGCCAGATGCCTTACTTACAAAATCAGACAAGTCCGCGTAACCACTTGGCTATTAACCTTGGCTTTCTCCAATTTCGTAGGTTGCGTAGCAAGTATCACAACACTTTAGGACTTGGTGTAGGTTGTTCGCTTGGCAAAGGTGAAGCTTATCGACTACATAGCATGTCGGCAGTGGATAAAGTTTCATATATGCAGGCTAGCTTGTTTAACCTTTCATAAGAATATGCGGTTGTATAAGTCTAGTGCGGCTTTACTGCTTGAAGGGCTAGCCGTAGGCAGTCTTCTAGAAACTGTAGGCTACCTTTAGGGTTTCAGAGCTGCCGTCTATAGAGCGTACTGCGTAATGTGCCCCCTCCGTCTCTAGGGCCTGGTTCCTTATGGATTAGGCCAAGAGACCCAAAATCCTTTAATTAGCTAAGCCTTGAAAAAGACCATTGTGGCTACTTCTAAGAATCTCGACGTAAGCCATTGTGCATCTAGTTATACTAGGGCAGCCAAGCTCATCCACGTCTGGATATTCAGAGTGTAAAGTTTATCCTCTCATCTTGGAGATATAACCCATATGGGTGTCGGGGAATTGGTTTACCCACTCACACTGAGAGCAATTAGTTTACCCTCTCGCACTAGAGAGCATGGTTGGTCCATCGGGGGGCGCAATTTTTGCGATGAGTCCCTAAGAATGGTGCAGTCTACTTTTGAAGTGCAAGAATGATCAGTTGTTGTAAGCATGCAACCAAGCCAAGTTGTGATTACTTCTGAATTCCTAATTGAAAAACAAATGAAACGAACGAGAATTTACCTGTAAGGTAGGAACTGCATGACAACTGGATAGTCCTCGTCTTGTGAGGTGGTGCCCGTCGAGCTTCTTGAGTCTTCGTACTTTGATGTAGCGGGAGGTCACACATGGTACTTCTTCATATTGTAGGCGCTTCACTGCTTCTCGATCTTTTTATTGTTTCATGGTGGCGAGGGTGTAATTACTTTTGCCGCCTACTCTGCTGATCTTGTACGGACCTTCCCAGATGGGATCCATCTTTTTGGAGCCTTCTCAGCGGGTAGTGATAAAGGCTTTTCTTAGGACTAGATCTTCGAACTGGAACTGCTGGATCTTGGCCTTTTTGTTGTAGTTAGAAATGAGTTATTGCTGGTAGGCTGCGATGCAAATGATGGTCTGCTCGCACTTGTCCTCTACCAGATCTAAGCTTGTGATCATCTCCTTACTATTATGCTCAATGCTTCGTAATAGTGCGGTGATACTTGGCTTGATGACATTGGGATGAATGATTGCTTCTAAGCCAAATGCCAAAGAGAAAGGAGTCTCACTGGTTGCTCATCTTTTGGTGGTGCGATATGCCCATAGACATCCAAGGAGTTCATTTGGCCATTTTCCCTTCTTGTTGGTGAGGGATTTCTTGAGGCAGTTGAGGATCACCTTGTTGGATGCTTCGGCCCGCCACCGCCTTGAGGATATCTTAGCATGGACATGTGCTGCTTGATGTTATACTTTTGGAAGAACTTCACCACATCTTGGCCCAAGAATTGCGGGCCGTTGTCGGTGACGATTGATTGAGGGATGCCATGAACTTTCGCCTCAGGATTTGTTGATTCTATTTCTCCAGTTGCAACAACTTGTCCATTTCAGAGCCAATTTAGTAACTTGCATGAAGACCCTCGTAAAATACCAACAGGTTGTAACTAGCATAAAGAATAAGAACATCAATTTTAAATGATTAAGTTATCAAACTATTTAACAATTATTATCAAGCGTGTGTTTACTACCTGAGAAGTGGCTTTAGAAACTTCTTTTCTCTTAATGTTGTCTCTTTCTATGTTTGGACTACTTCTCTGTGACAACCAAACATGGAAGACACAAAATTCGATCAGTTTATATCAAAATCTCATAAGTTTCATAAGCTAACTATTTAGTACTTGTTCTCGTATACCTGGGAACTAGCTTTGGAAGCTTGTCTAGAAGCATCGTCAGCTTCGTGTGCACTTCTTCTATCACATTGTATCTAATAAAAAAACAAAAACAATCTAATTATCAACATCTGCTATGTCTTATTATATTTCCACTGTGCTATACTTGGGATCATATATGTACCTGAGAACTAGCTTTTGAAGTGTGTCTAGAACCATCGTTAGCCTCTGGTGCACTTTTCTTATTACATTGTAACTGATAAAAAGATAAATGCAAATAATCAAAATCAAATGAAACAACTGATAACAAGATAGATGCAAAGAAACTATTAGCTGCATAGACTAACTAAGCCTGAAAGTGAACATGTTCACTATTTTCAGTTTCATACCTGGGGAGATGATCTGGAAACCTGGTAACTGGAATTGGGAACCTGTTTTACACCATTCTTAGTTCTTTGGAGATCTATACATCCTCCATGCGACTAGTGAATACGTAAGAAATAGAAGTTGATCAATTTCAGATTCAACAAAATACCAATATTTACTAATGACACATTTTTACCTGAGGCCTATTTGTGGAGACTTGAATTGCATCATTGGTATTAGTTTCTTTACCATTTCCCTGCAGCGATATGATTAGAAGTTAGAATATATTTTTTAGACCGATATTGTTTTATTTGTACTCACTAAAAAACCAATCCAATGAGTCTTTTGTAACAAATATCTCCCTTTCCGATAAAAGATGTGGTTGCTAGGGTAAAGTTGGATGTATCAAGTATTGCTGACAAATATTCATCCAGTGTTGGTGGGTATTTATGGTGGAACCATTGGCTTCCCTCAAGTAAGCTCTAACTACATACAAATTGATCATGCCGTAAATCTTTTATCATTTTTATAAATATATACAAAGTTGCATATATAATTACCTCATTTTGTTGTTTAGCCAACACAAGATCAAACACTTCCCGCAATTTTCCTTCGACATTTTGTAGCCGGTCTCTAAGCTCTCGATTACTCATGCTAGCATATGTTTGGGCATCACATCTAGAAGGTGTAACCCCATAACCACCTCCACGAAGTCGACCTCAATGTTCAAGTCCAAGTGCTTGTGATAAGGCATCATCTTTTATAGAACCATTGTCTGTTGTTGGCATTTCATTAGCCAACTTAATGTCATCCTATACATTTAAAAATCATTTACAAGATTAAAAGAAAAATGAACAAAAAATAACACAAGGATAATTTCAAACTGAAGCTTCGTACCATTTTCTTTGACACTATCTCATTTACCGGTTGACCATTTTTTCTTGTACGAGCAGCTATCCAAAGACTAACTCTATTTAAATCCTCCTCAGGTGTACCTTTGTTTCTCTATTAATTCATCCATAATTTAAACTCCATATAAGTGTGTTGTCACTGAAATGAAATTAAAATATATACAAAGGTTCATACCAGCTCGTCCTCCAAGCGTGCATATCCTTTACGACTCATCACATGAGGGAGAGTATGGAATGATTTCAACTTTTTGAACTTCTCACTAATTGCCTAGCAAAGAAAAACAGATAACAAGGAACTTCATTTAACCAACATCCATGCATAGAAAACCTAATCATTAATTTAAAATTTAATACAAACAAGCTTACATCAAACTCAGGAGAGCATTGATGTTTAACAAATTTGTCCCAATCAGCTTGTTTCTCAACATTAGCAGGCTTCAAGAGTTGCATTTGTTCCATTGCATCAGGACCATCATCAAGGAATCTTATTTGTTTTGTCAACGTGGCTTTGTATGTACGCCAACACCTAGACATTTGTGTTAATAATATCTTCTTACGACAGGGTGCTAAATCGTATTTTTGCTGCATTAACCATGAATCTTTTTTAACATCAAAAAGATAATTGATTTTTTATATGTATTATAGAAGAACAAAATAGTTAGGAAATAAGAGCACAGCTTCAGTTATAAATTTTACCTTCACAGCAGCCTATAATTTATCTTTCAAAATTGTAGTAACTTCATCCCAACTTGCGTAAGTTACTGGTATTAGTTGTCTTGCAAGGATCCCTGCCGACGAACTCAAACTCGCTGATCTAGCACCAAAATGTTGTCATTTGTCATTGAATTGAACACCAATTTGTTTGGCCTTTGACAGAGCATTATAATCCAACATTGTTGGACCTCTTCCCTTTCTCTTTTTGCTTCATTCACATCATCACTTGAGTGAATCTCGTCACCGTCTGGCAAACCATCAAAATCCATAGACACCTAAAAATTGAAACCAAATTCATAGAGAGATTAATAAAGGAATGTTTTCGGTCCTAGAAGAAAAAACCAAGTTAGAGAGAAAGATTTCGCAGGGTAACCAAATGCAACTACAAGACCACTCAATTCATACCAAATTTATAGAGAGAGATCAGTGAATAATGTTTGCGTCCTAGTAAAAAAGAACGATGTGAAGAGAAGGATTGAGGGGATAGCCAAATATAACTGCAAGCGACTGGGGGAACTTTGAACGGCAGTTTCTTCGCTTCGTGGGTTTTTAATTAAGTTTTGTTTCCAATAAAAAATATATCAACTTTTTTATGTTAATTGTTTTACAATTATATCATCATTGGGACTCTCTTATAGCCATAAAATTAAAACTTTATTGGGACTCTGATACTAGGGGTGGGCACAGGTTGCAACTCTCTTATACATCATTTTTATAAATTAAGGCTGCAGCCGCTGCACTGCAATGCACAACAGCACTGCAGCAGCACATATTACACTCACATGAGCTGTCTTTAAGAATTGAGGATGCAATGCAGCAGCACATATTAGAGGAGTATTGAAGCACAGATTGTGCCCAGCAATACATATTAATATTATTATCCAAATCCAAATTCCAAATCCAAAATAACATCCAAATCCAATCCAAATTAACATCTCCAAGACATCCAATGCAAGGTCCAAATCCAAAAATAACCCAAAAGAGAAATTAGTGAATAGACCCTTTGAAAACTTAAAGAACATTGCGGTAATCTATCCATGGTTCCTAACCGAGGTGCAAATTATATAGCAATTGGTACTTAACATACAGTAAAAATTGTTTAGGGTATGATACTTATAGACATTTGAATTACCTAGTGGCTTCGAAATGGATTGGTCAGAACTCAGGAGTCAGGAGACTCATGACCATGAGGTGGTGGTCGAAGTTGAGATGAGCAGATAGTGGTGGTCGGAGACTCGGAGTCAACTTTAGAGAAGCTGAGGGAGGGAGCTCAGGTATCATGAATCGAGAGGGATGAGAGTAATGGTTACTCTCCATCGATGAGAACCGTATTGAAGGTTTTGTGGATTTTGCAATCTGGGCTAAAAAAATTGATAACCATAAAAATAGGACCTCCAGCCAAGAGAAGAAGGAAGGCTGCGTTTTGGGGAAGAAGGAAGGCTGCATTTGAGGATCATCCTTTTTAGATAAAGAAATCGTTGAAGATAGGGTTTGAGGATGAAAGAAAGCTGGGTTCGAGGAAGAAGGAAGGTAGGGTTTTGGGAAGAAGGAATGGCTTGGGGTTTGGGGAAGAAGGTGGGCTGGGTTTTGGGGGAGAAAGGAATGGCTGGGAAGACGTCCGAGGGAGGGGTTGGGTCGGACGGGGAAGGAGACCGTCCATCTCCTCTGTTCTTTTGTTCTTTTCTTTTTTTTTAAAAAAATTTTAAAAGGTCAAAATGATAATAAAATTCCAGCTCTGTAAAAATAAGGACAGATTGTAAGATTTGAATGAAAGCATCACGGCTGACGTAATACTATTGTACTACTCTATAATTTCTCGACACCGGGAGAGAGAGATAAAGAGGGAGCAGAGGGAGGACCGAGGTTAGCAGATTCCATCGAATTGTAATTATCATTTTTTATTTGTTTTGGTCAAATCACAAAACAAACATTCAAAGGTCAAATAAAGAGAAAATTTTTTTTGAAGGTTATCAACGAAACATCACGATTTAACGGTTATTTTAACTCCGATTTTGATGATTTTTTACAGCTACACTTCTTGACCCTATATGAATACAATGAATGAACTCGATCTTCAATTTCAATTTAAAATATTTACATTAATGGATATCACAAAATCTTATGTTATACTTAATGAAAGTATGAATACACTCTTAAGTGTTAGCGAATCTATCATTTTGATGGGATACGCATTCTACGAAACTAATTTCGACGATCCAACCGTCAAATTTGTTTGTATATACTTCAAGATTGCATATGCTAAAAATGGCAAAAAAACAAACATTTAGAGATCAAGTAACGAGACAAAACCTTTCGACGGTTATCAACAAAAAATCACGATTTAACGGTTATTTTAACTCCGATTTTGATGATTTTTTAAAGCTACACTTCTTGACCCTATATGAATACAATGAATGAACTCGATCTTCAATTTAAAATATTTACATTAATGGATATCACAAAATCTTATGTTATACTTAATGAAAGTATGAATAAACTCTTAAATGTTAGTGAATCTATCATTTTGATGGGATACGCATTCTACGAAACTAATTTCGACGATCCAACCGTCAAATTTGTTTGTATATACTTCAAGATCGCATATGCTAAAAATGGCAACAAAAAAAAACATTTAGAGATCAAGTAACGAGACAAAACATTTCGACGGTTATCAACAAAAAATCACGATTTAACGGTTATTTTAACTCCGATTTTGATGCTTTTTTACAGCTACACTTCTTGACCCTATATGAATACAATGAATGAACTCGATCTTCAATTTAAAATATTTACATTAATGGATATCACAAAATCTTATGTTATACTTAATGAAAATATGAATAAACTCTTAAATGTTAGCAAATCTATCATTTTGATGGGATACGCATTCTACGAAACTAGTTTCAACGATCCAACCGTCAAACTTGTTTGTATATACTTCGAGATCGCATACGCCAAAAATTGCAAAAAACAAACATTTAGAGATCAAGTAACGAGACAAAAAATTTCGACGGTTATCAACGAAACATCACGATTTAACAGTTATTTTAACTCTGATTTTGATGATTTTTTACAGCTACACTTCTTGACCCTATATGAATACAATGAATGAACTCGATCTTCAATTTAAAATATTTACATTAATGGATATCACAAAATCTTATGTTATACTTAATGAAAGTATGAATAAACTCTTAAGTGTTAGCGAATCTATCATTTTGATGGGATATGCATTTGACGAAACTAGTTTCAACGATCCAACCGTCAAACTTGTTTGTATATACTTCGAGATCGCATATGCCAAAAATTGCAAAAAACAAACATTCAAAGGTCAAATAAAGAGAAAAAAAATTTCGACGGTTATCAACGAAAAATCACTATTTAACGGTTATTTTAACTCCGATTTTGATGATTTTTTACAGCTACACTCCTTTACCCTATATGAATACAATGAATGAATTCGATCTTCAATTTAAAATATTTACAGTGAAAAACGCCGGAAGAGAAATTTACGAGCTGTAAGCCACAAGAATGCATACACATCTCCAAGTTCGATGATCAATGATAATTTAAATGCTTATTCAGAACAAGAAAACACAATCAAAAGATATAGGATAAAAGAAACCTGAGTGATGCAGAGAGGTTGCCGCTGATTGAGGGAGAGATGACCGAAGAGACGACCAAACTGAGATCGGCCGGAGACGGAAGAGATGGAGACAAAGGATTGACGTTTTCTTTTTAGGGTTTCACAGTTTCACGCAAGGGGGAAATAATTGGGATTTTAGATTTTAATATCCTCCAAAATATTTTAAAAAAAAACAAAAAAAAAAACATCCACCACGGGCCGATGGTGTGGTGAATTTTCAAAAGGCGGTGTGGTTGTTTGAAGTAACCACAATGAGCATATCGCGTGGTGGTTTTGATATTCCATCATGGAATTAAAAATCGTTGTAGATTATTCACTTTTAACAACGGGCCAAAATTTGACCGTGGTGAATTAATATTATCTACCACGAGCTACATTTAATCGTGGTAATTAAATAGTTCTACCGCGAGCTGTTGATGTCCGTGATGGAATTGATGTGGTAAATATGTTGTTATGTACCAGTGCGTTATTCCTCAATAACTCAATGGTAGAGTAGTTGACTATTAATTGATTGGTTGTGTGTTCAAATCCATCTGATACAGATACAGCATGTTCTTTTTTACTGAGATTGTTCGGCAGACATGATCCAATCCCGATATTTGTTAACAGAGTAATTTCAAAACTAGACAGAAGATCTTTGCTGTACCTTGGATATTATCTACATATACAAAAGTTAGCCTTTATTTTAGCATGAGACCAATTTACAATCAAGAAGAAGAAACTATATACACATTGTAAAACATTTATACCACATACTTTGATTAAGCTACTCAAATCACAACCAAGTAATAAACAAAACTCGAACCAATAAAAACTTGCTGCATACTGACCTGAAGAACTTGCACCAGATGAAGCCATGAATGCAGAAAACTGAAACTTGCAAACTTTGATTCTTCTCCTCTCTGTCGGATTGCCATTTGCTCAAAACTAAGAATAGGGCTTAGTTCTAATAATGAGCGATAATCTATGAGAGCAAAGATCAACATATATATATATATATATATATAACCCTTCTTATGTTATAATAAGGATTCCCTATTAGAATCCATATAGGAAACTGCTTGTATTTCCTACATCAATTCTAACATGAAACTAACTCCTTCATTAACAAGGAGTAGTTCATCAATTCTTTTAAGGTTTTCTTGTACCAATTGGACTCCAATACCAATGCCAAAACACCTTGTCTCATGTTCATATTCTTACATTCTCCCACTTGAACATGAGACCTATAGACCTATTTCAGACATGATATCACCAATCTTAAGAAGTGATCACATAACCTTAATCAAGAATTAACCATCATGACCAATGTTCCTCTGCATTTCAAAATACTGAAACCAAGAATTATAATCCACACAACAAAATGGCAGTATTAATTCAAAGCTCACATGTACCCAATCTGTAAATATAACTCATGATCAAACACTAAATTGCTCCCACTTTTCAAAAGATCCATGTATCACAAAAGAGAGCAAATTAGCCAATGCTAATTAAAAGAACAATTCATAATGATCTGCTTTAAATAGACAAACTGTTTACAAAGCAACAAAAGAATCCAATCTTAAGATTCAAACTATCATTCGAAATTGCAAAACTTCACAAATGAAGTATTGAGCTCCAACACAAATATATTTATTGAAACACAAAACAAAACTACCAAGGCTAGCTAAAACCAAAAAATAATTTAACCTCAACACCATCAGAATTGCATCAGCCGTTCCAGAACTTTTAATCCTTGCATCAGCAATTCTCAGCTCTTGATAAGATTAGTGACTACTCACACTGATCAAAACTTTCAAGCACCCCCATTCGAGCAACATGTAACTTAAACTCTCCAATAGGTAAAGCTTTAGTTAGAGGATTAGCCAGCATCAGAGTTGTACTAATATGTTGTACCTCGATCACTCTCTTCTTAACCTGTTCTCGGACTTTGAGAAATTTTACATCCATGAGCCTAGAAGCTGAAGTTCTTCTATTATTCTTTGCAAAGAACATAGCTAAGTTGTTATCACAATACATTCTCACAGGTCTTTGTACTGAATTTATGATCTTTAAGTCTGACATAAAATTTCTCAACTAAGCAGCTTGCTTTATTCCTTCAAAACAGGCCACAAACTCAGCCTCCATAGTTGAAGTGGCAATAACAATTTGCTTTGCACTCTTCCAAGGAACTGCACCACCATTTAGCATGAAGATATAACCACCTGTTGACTTCCTATCATCCACATCACCATCCAAATCTAAATCTGTATACCCTTCAAGTTCCAAAGAATCACATTTGCCATAAACCAACATGAAACCTTTAGTCCTTTGCAAATATCTCAGAACTTTCTTTGCAACTATCCAATATGCATCTCCTGGATTTGCTTGAAACCTTCCCATCATGCCTACAATATAAGCAATATTTGGTCGTGTACAAATTGTTGCATACATAAGGCTTCCCACCAGAGAAGCATAAGGTTTAGATTGCATTTTCTTAGTCTCCAAATCAATCTTCAGACATTGATTCCTTGAAAACTTATCTCACTTATTGACTGGAACATGACCATAATTACAACTTTCCAATTTTAAATCGAAGCAACACTCTGTCAATGTAACCCTTTTGTGATAAACTAAGCAATCTCCTCTATCTATCACGAATGGTTTCAATTCCCAACACATAGTGTGCCTCTCCTAGATCCTTCATATCAAAACTCTCACTGAGCATCTTTTTAGTACTTTGTAACAACTCAGGACGAACTTGCTAAAAGGATATCATCAACATAAAGCACCAAAAGGATAAACTATGAACCAGAAAACTTAATGCAAATGCAATCATCCAATTTGTTTTCTTCAAATCCCTGAGAAGAAACAATTTGATTAAATTTCAAATACCACTATATAGAAGCTTGCTTCAACCCATACATGGACTTATTGAGCTTGCAAACCATATTTTCATTCCCCATTTCAACAAATCCAGTTGGTTGTTTCATGTAAATACACTCTTCTAAGTCTCCATTAAGAAAAGCATTTTTCACTTCCATTTGATGCAACTCCAAGTCAAAATAAGCAACCAAAGACATGACAACTCTCATTGAATCTTTAGAGGACACTGGAGAAAAAGTATCATTATAATCAATACCTTCTCTCTAAGTAAAGCCCTTTGCAACTAACCGGGCTTTATATCTCTCAATTCAACCAAGAGCATCTCTTTTGGTTTTATACACCCACTTGCAACCTATAGGCTTAATTTGAGAACTAGACTCCACAAGTGTCCAAGCATTGTTTTTGAACATTGAATCTAGCTCATCCTTCATTGCATCCTACCATAAAATCGATTGAGAACTTTCCATGGCCTGAGTTTATGAAAGGGGATCATCTACATCACCAATATCAAATTTTGTTTCTTGTAAATAAACATAATCACTGGCAGCTGTTGATTTTCGAACCCTTGTTGATTTTCTTGGCTGAAACTGACGTAATACTTCATTCAGCACTTGTGTTTCTATAACATTATTTGAAGGTGTTGCAGAGGGATCAATTTCCATAATGTTGCTAGTATCAAAATCTAAATCTGTAGCCAAATCGTCTATTTTGGTTGACATACAGGCCTAATGCATCTTGATCTTCCAAGAAGAATGCAGGGTGGCCCTAAGGAATGTAGAATCTATACCTTTTTTATTTGTCAGGATAACCAATGAAATAACAAGATTGTTCTTGGATCCAGCTTTCTCTCATTAGGATTGTAAAATCTAGCTTCAGCTTTGCACCTTCAAACATGAAAATACCCAAAACTAGGTGCTATTCTCAGGATATAATTTGCAGTTTTTAATGCTTCCCCCCAAAGAAAACTTCGTAATTTGGATCTTGTCATCATGCTTCTAACCATGCCAATGAGGTTCTATTCCTCCTTTCTGAGACTTCATTTTGTTGACGTGTTCCAGGTGTTGTATATTGAGCTATAATGCCATTTTTCTCCAGATAGAGTGCAAATGGTCCCTTTTGTTGCCCAGATTCAGTGTACCTGCCAAAGTATTCTCCTCCCTTATCGGATCTAACAATTTTAATAACCTTAACTAGTTGTTTTTCAACCTCAATTTTATAAATCATAAAGCACTTAAGGATATCAACTTTGTCACTAATAAGAAAAGTGTATCCAAGTCTAGAGAAATCATCTATAAAGTTGATAAATTACTTGTTTCCACGTACTATTTTGATTGGAAAAGGACCACAAATGTTCGTGTGTATGATTTCAAGTAAACCCTGACTCCTTTTAACATCCAATTTCCTAAAATTGGTCATTTTACCCGTTAAACAATCAACACATTCAGTTGTAGCAGTGAGGTCTAATTTTGGAATCAAATCAACTTTTGAAAGTTTAATTATCCCCTCTTTTGAAATGTATCTTAGTCTTTTGTGCCAGAGAATGTAAGATGTGTCTTGCTTCAGCATTCTTTTAGAACAAATATTTAAAATGAGTGATTTAACATTTCAACTGTGCATTCTAGACGCCACAAATTATCAAACAAGAAAGCAGTTCCTAAAACAATATCAAAACAGTTTTTCTTAAAAAAAATTAAGCTAATATCATCTGCAAGAAAAGAAAGACCATCTTTTACAATTTTAGAAGCAGAAATAAGGTTTCTTCTCATCTTAGGGACATATAACACATCTTTCAACTCCAAAACAAAACCAGAAGTCAATTTTAATTTTACTATCCCAATTGAATCTACTACAACTTTAGTCTCTTCGCCAACAAAAACATTGTACAAAGCATTTCCAATTTCCTTTTGTTTTTGAAAACCATCCAAAGAGTTAGTTATATGTACTGAGCAGCCAGTATTAAACCACCAAGAATCAACAGGTACTTCACAAAGATTAGTTTCAACATAAACAAGTACCTATTCTTTTTCCTTGCTCTTTCAGTAATCTTTAAAAATCTCACAATCGACTTTTAGATGCCCCTTAGTTTACACCAAAAACATTTAAGTTTAGAACATCATTAGGTTTAGCCTTAAATTTGATAGTTTTCTAGAGGAGTCATTCACTTTAGCAGATGCATTAAACCGATTAGAATTCTTACCAGGAGCAGAAGAAGCCCTATTGTTGAATGTTCTCTTCTCTTTTCTAGGTTGCACAAAGTTTATTTCATCAATCTCTTTGCCTTTCTCCTACTTTTTCCGAGTTTCATCTTGCACACATTGTGCAATAAGTTCATCTATGTCCCAACTTTTATCTTGTGTGTTGTAGGAGACTTTTAACTTACTACGCTTTGTGGGAAAGGCTTGAAGAATCATATACACAAGTTGTTTCTCACCGATATAACATCCATGGAGTTCAATTTCTCAGCAGCATCTGTCATCTTCATTATGTGATCCCTTATGTAACCAGTGCTCTCAATCTTGTATGTAGTCAGTAAGGACATGTATTGGCTTACTTCTGCTTTCTCAGACTCCTTAATCTTCTTCTCAATTGCTTTTAAGTAATAGTTCTGGTCTTTTGATTCCACCTTTGATTGTATCAGTCATTCCATTTTCTAAGATAGAAAGTGCTACTTTGTTAGCCCTTGTCCATCTTTCATGAACTGACTTCTCAGCCTTAGTGCTTTGATCATTAACCAAAGGTTTGGTATTATCAATTGCTATATCAAACTCATTAAGAGTCAACAGCAAATTGATATCCCTTCTCCATTTTTTGTAGTTGCTGCCACTAGTGAAGATTGGGATGTTTGCCAAATTTAAAGTCTTCATTGATATTACAGACACTGAAGAATTAAGAAAATCACAATATGAACTTTTAGAGTCTTGATTTCTTTTCTCAATCTATTGCACATCATAACATCATAACTATTATTCATATACATAATCTCAACAACTAATCAGTTGGTAAGCACATATAGGATGATTGGTTTTACCAGAAAACTGAATATCATGTAATCATGAACAATCATCTTATTCGAAAGAAAATATTTGTTACATACAAAACAGTCATTTAATTTAAGAACCCAAGATTTGAATTTTGCCTTTTCCAGTTAATCAATATGCATGTTTATCAGATTTCAAATTAACAATCATACTTTTGCTATTTTAATCCATCTTATCAAATAGGGAGATTCAAATAGAATTGAATTTGAATTTCATGCTTCTTCTCTGAGTTTCAAAATACATACCATGAATGATGAATATCCATATTGTGTAGCAGAAGCTTAAATTAATATGGATTTGTTTCTTAATTCCCAGATCCTTTCTCCAAACACACAATCGAAGACAAGAGAGAGAACAATCGAAAAGGTTCTCTTTCCCATAAAAGCCCCAAAACAAATTCTGAAGAATTCTTAACGGTCGAAAAATTCAAATATTCATCTTTTACTGAAACGCAGCGGTTTGGATAATTCAAATTTTAATCCTACTAACTAAAACCAGTTTCGAAACCTGACAACCGAAACCTTCTCCTAATTTAATTATTAGTTTCTTTTGTTCTCGTTGATTGAATTTAAGAACTAAACCTATGGATGGCTCTGATACTACATGTAAAACATTTATACCACATACTTTGATTAAGCTACTCAAATCACAACCAATCAATAAACAAAACTCGAACCAATAAAAACTTGATGCATACTGACCTGAAGAACTTGTACCAGATGAAGCCATGAATGCCGAAACTTGCAAACTGTGATTCTTCTCCTCTATCAGATTGTTGTTTGCTCAAAACTAAGAATAGGGCTTAGTTCTAATAATGAGCGATAATCTATGAGAGCAGAGATCAACATATACATACATACATATATATATATATGTATATATATATACATACATATATATATATACATACATATATATATATATATACATACATATACATATACATATATATATATACATATATATATATATATATATATATATATATATATATATATATATATATACATATATATATATATAACCCTTCTTATGTTATAATAAGGATTCCCTATTAGAATCCATATAGGAAATTGCTTGTATTTCCTATATCAGTTTTAACATGAAACTAACTCCTTCATTAACAAGGAGTAGTTCATCAATTCTGTTAAGGTTTTCTTATACCAATTGTACTCCAATACCAATGCCAAAACACCATGTCTCATGTTCATATTCTTACATACATATAAACTACTGTAAAGGTATCTTTCTTTTTTTCTTTTGAACTACACTAAGGGCATGAGGGAGTGAGCTAAACCTTACAATAGGTTTGCCATAATAAAGTGGTTCAACTTCGCATTTGACGAGAATCGAATCTAAAACTTCTAATTTACAAGTGAAGAGAAATATTACTAGACCATAGTATTAAGTGGCTGTAAAAGCATATCTTATTTATTTATTCTTTTGCCAGCATTCCATGCAAAGCATCTCTTATTTATTTATTCTTTTGCCAGCATTCCATGCATTGAGTTAGTGTAAAACATGCGTTAGAAAATGAATTGGAAATGAGCCGATTGAATTAGCGTAATACTATAAAATTTGAAAATGTTATAGTTAATCCTCTGAAATATATATATATATATATATATATATATATATATATATATATATATATATATATGTATGTATGTATCTATGTATTTATGTATTTTCTTAATAATTTTGTTCCACACGTACAAATTTGCATGCATCATCACTATAATATGACAATGTTATACAATCCAACTTTTCTTTTCCCATAACGTTTTACCTGGTTTTTAGTATTTGGACTCTGCAGCATTTTTATTTTAGCATTGATGCAGTACCGCATAAGTTTATATTTGGAAACTTTAACGAAAAACTTCCGGTACTATTCGTTTTAACGAAAAACTACATTTTTATACTAAAATGTCAATCATGGTAATATTCACTTTATCTTTTATTTTGTCCTTATCGTTAAAACTTAAAATTTTCAAGTCGTTTTCATTATTTTTCCTTTTATATTTTCCTTCATTTCGTGCGACTACTTTAAAGTCGATATAGGGGAGAGAAAATGTTTAAACCTGAGACATTGGATTGAGGAGAAATAAATGCCATATCAACTAAAACAACCCACCACTTATAAGGACCGTGTAAGATTGTGGGATTATTATTATTATTATTTTTATTTAAACAAACAATATTATCTATACTAAGTAGGGAGGGGTGGACTTAGCCTCACAATGAGCTAGCAACCAAGACCTCTCATTTACAAGTGAAGATGAATACTACTAGACCGTAATAAAGATTAATTTCTGTAGGAAAGACATATCGTATTGGCTAGGCTAGGTGACTTTGTGAAATTTTAAATAGGTAGTAGAACAGTTACTATAATGAAAATATAAACATAGAATGAAGATGTCAAGGCATATATCACATTTGCATATGATTAAGCATAATCTTTATTCGGCCATATCGCTATAACCATTTATATATTCATACCTCAAAGCTATATATACTGGATTGAACGTTTCCAAAACTTGCCCGTCTACAGATTTTGACGTTTTGTTTTGCTTTGCTGCTATTTGATTAACAGACAACAATCCCATGCCAATCTCGTGACTTTTTTTTACTAACTATCAACATATTTTTCAATTATCTGACCCGTTTGGATTGTTTTTGTGGCAATGGCAAACTTTAATTATAAGAGCGGTTGTCAAATTTGTTCACCAAATAATATAATAGCGTTTCAAATTATTCCTATACTAAAACCCTAACATGAGTGCACTGTTCATGAATAGTGCGCGGACTAAAATGCCCTTCAAATGTTTTACCCTGAGCGTTTTCTTCCAGCTTTTCTACAGTGCAAGGACGATTCTACCCTTGGTGACCACGCGTCTGTCATCGGTTCTTCCGCTCCATTTCTTCTCTGCCTTTCGTTTGGGTTCGCTTCTCTCTCTCTCACTCTCCATTTTCAACTTTTGCTTATTTGGAGCCTAGGTTTGTTTCCTCTCTCACGCCTTCGTTGTTCTCTCTTTCTCGCTCCATTTATTTGTGATTTGTTGTTTCGTGCTTGACAATATGTCCCAAGTTTTAGTTTGGACGTTTTTGTGATTTTGGTTGCTCAGGTTTGTTTTGGTGTTTCTGAAAATATGATATGATGTTTTGATTCATTGAAATAATTGAAAGATAAAAGAAGAGTGCAGAATTATTGTGAAGAGTGGTCACCAGAAAAAGGAAAAAAAAAAAAGGGGGATGAATCTATATATATAAAGTGAGAGCCTCAGTTTGGTGAAACATTCCAAAATACCAAGAATATCTTTATGTTTTCTTCACAATCAAACCCAAAAAAAATCAGAAAATAAGGACAAACTGGTAAAAAAAACCAAATTCATCATCCCAAAGGGTAGTTTGATAACAGTTCTCACTCTTTCACAACTACTACAACACGTTCCCACTGTTTCACAACTGCCCGTGCCAGTTTGCATCAAACTCCGCTCCTCCTTCTTAACCTTTGGCCAGCGTAAAACTCCATTCAATTTCTTCCTCCATTAGTTGATCTTCAATCATCTCACGTATTCAAATATTATTTTTGTTTCTTTTCTTTTTTTTTTTTTGTTTATGCAGTTTTAATTTATTTGGGAACTTTTTTAGTCCCCTAGATTCTTCTATTGCTACTCAATTCCGAGATTTGATCGTGCTTTTTTGAATTGCAGCATAAAGAGGTGATGAGGCTTTCAACCCATTTATAAAGGATATATCCCAATGCCATTGGGTGTTTGAGTGGTATTTTCGTTTCTATTGTCTCTGTCTTTTTTATCATATCAATTCACAGTCAACAATCGAGTCCTCTCTCCCAAATCGTCCTAATTGGTCCCTTTATAAACTCCTTTTATTTGGTTTTTACAACAATCTCATTATTTATTTAGCCTATATAAAAGGAGTATTTACACATGCTCATTGTTCACAGCCGTTTGGTAATTGTTCCACTGGTAATTTTGATGTGAATCTCTCATATGCATAACATGTTAATAGCACATGGCATGGCCGTTAACATCTATTGTATTTTTTTTATTTCAGTTTTACAGAGGTGCAGCCGCTGAGTCCCGACCACGACGCGGACGAAGTTGTAACGACAGTCTAAAAAGGTATTTCTGCAAAATTTCAGAGGATTCTTAACCTCACACCTCTCTTTCATCCTATTCATGTATGAGATATTTTTCAATTTGATTCTTTCATTGTTTGGGTTGTTTAGTTTAGTTCTTGATTGATTGAGAATGGCTGGATATTAGTTACCTCCATTATTGCGTTACAACTCCTTTGTTATTTTCTTATATTATTGGATATTTCAATTTCTGATTGAAAGAATCTTGCAATCGACTTTAATTTGTAGAAATGTGCCGATGCATTCTTTTCATTCTCTTTGTTTCTTTGCAGATTTACGAAGAAGGATTTGACTTTGAAAAATCACTTCAAGCTCTGGAAAATTTATCTTCCATTGAGAGGTTTTCAAAATATTGGATGACAACAGTTGAATCATTTATTCTCAAATGGTAGTTTATTGACTTACTAATTAGTATAGTACATTGACAACATTAGTTAGTTAGATTCAATGAATTTTATATCAACTCGGAGTGTGCATGATTCCTTTGTTCACATCACCCATGCTAAAAGCTCTACTTCACAGCAGGCTACGTGAGACGTGAAGAAGAGCTTGCAATATCTTTTTAGTTCTTAATTAGGTCATCGAGTAAAGCCTCCAAATCCATTTCTTAATTCATATCTATTTTCTTATGGGTTGTGCCGTACAAAGTTATCTATTTTTCAAATCAATTTTTATTTTGAATTTTTGTGTTTGTGCTTAATCGAGTCTGCAGTAGAAATGAAGTCAGATGACGTTGTAAACTTCCACCCCCGTTTCTTCAAAAGGTGTGTGAATTCTTCATTACACCAATTGCAGGTTTTCATACTATTTCCAATTTTCGGTATCGCACATAAGAAAGGATGCAGTTCTTGATTTTTCATATGCCTTAATATGTTGAATGTGATCTGAATTTAGTTGTAGTTAATTTGTCGAAGTTATTTGTCGTAACTTTTTGGAATGGAAGTCTTAGTATTTGCCCAGCAATTTTTGTGAATTCCAAACTTTGCTTATAATTTTAGTCACGTATAAACTTCCAATTGGATTTGTTCCCCGACCATACTAATATAATAGCTGTTCTTTTGCTTTTATGTAGAAGTAAGAAGATTGTTTTGCCCTTACGTATCCTGCTTCTTTCTGTTCACGAAATTGCCAAGAAAAAAGTACTTTGTAATCATTTTCTTTTCTTCTTTTATAGTATAGTGATGTGTGGATAAAATTTGTCTTTTTTTTCTTTGTATCAGCAACCTATTACCCATCCTTAAGCATGTTCTGTTAAGAAACTTTTGATTTTTCTTTTGTTTAATTTCTCATCCGATAGGTTCAATATTAATAGAGTCTACTTGACATCCACATTGGAACGACAGTCTACAAATGCAATGACATTCTTCTAATTCCATCCTCATTAATTGTCTTAGTAACAATCGAGAATTTGAATGACATGCTTCTGATTGTTTTGTTTCTGTTACAGTTACAGATATTCAATGATGACCAAAGCTTTTCTTCACTTTTCTTTGGAGAAACATATGCATGCAGATAAAAGATGCGATTGCCTAGAACCTTTGTTCCAGTTGAAGCATGTCATGAAAGAGAGTAGTCAATTAATTGTTGCATTGATATTAATTAGGTCTGGAAAATAATTTTAGCTTTTAGGTTTTTTAATAAGTTAAATTTTTTTACAGAGTTTTATTTTATGTAAAATTGGTGAAGTGTGTGTGTGTATATATATATATATTGTAATAATGTTTGTATGGTTCCATATACCAAATGAAAGGATGCGTTAGAAATGTGTAATACAAGGCTACTACATGACATATGTGGTTTTGACATACATGAAAGATCGTAGGGCCAGTGATAAAAAAAAATGCCTCTCGCATGCACAGAAGCACAAACATATAGACTGGCAATGAAAATCTAAAGCATCAATCATGAAGAAATGGGTAGAAATTGTAGCATTGATGTCAATATGTAAACTTTCTTTTCAAAAGAAACAGTGACATATAGACTTTATGGGTATCGTGAATAATGTACATATTGCGACGTAGGTTTTATATTTTGACATTTAAGTTGTTTTGTATTTTGCTACGAGTACTTAATGTTTTCATCTACTTTTTTTTTTATTTACATCTACTTACTATTGTTCATGGACTTTAGGTAGGAACTTGCATCCAAAATCCCATGTTGTTTGACAATTGCATGAATAGCATTTAAATCATTACTTTACGCAAAGTGAAAACAAAAAACATGACAACTTTTTAAGACGTGCATGGTAAGGAAAAAGTTCCTCTTTGCACAATACATTTAAAATATATCATCAAACACACAGATTGCATTGAGCAAAAATATCATCAAGATTTCTCCATTTCAGAGGTGTGTGGTCATAAGCCTCTGAAAGCTTTGCAGATTCAGGAGTGCAACTTTCTTGTTCTTATGTATGGAAAGGAGAACTAGGGCTGAGAGAACTTTCTTCAATCACACTCATCTCATATGAATTCACACCAACTACATTTTCAGGTTGATCCTGAATGTAGGTTGCAGCAGCTGAACTTTGTGAATTTTCTTTCCAATTCCAGGTCATAGATTCATCAAAGACTACATCTCTTGACAAGATTAATTTGTTAGTACATGGATCAAATATTCTGTATCCCTTCTCACATGTAGCATAACCCACAAATACACCTTTAACACTCTTAGCATCTAGCTTATGTCTTGTCTCAGTAGGTACATGTACATAGCACAGGGAACCAAAATCTTGAGATGTGCTATGCCTGGTTTTCTGCCACTATAAGCTTCAAAAGGAGTTGTATTTCCAAGTGCCTTTGTAGGACACCTATTTAGAATATATACAGCTGTGTGTACAGCTTCAGCCCAAAGAACATATGGCATACCTCTATCATGAAGCATAGTTTTTGCCATTTCAACCACTGTTCGATTTTTCCTTTCCACTACTCCATTCTGTTGAGGAGTATAAGCCATGGTGAGTTGCCTTTGAATACCTTCAATTTCACAGAACTTAGTGAACTCAGAAGATAAGAATTCTCCACCTCTGTCACTCCTTAGACTTTTAACTTTGAAACCACTCTGCAGCTCCACCATTGACTTGAACCTTTTGAAATAATTGAATGCATCAGATTTGTATCTGAGAAAATACACCCAAATCATTCTTGTACAATCATCGATGAGTAACATGAAATATTTGTTTCCAGCCAAGGATGCATTCTGCATAGGACCACACAAATCAACATGAATAAGTTCCAGGGGACAGTTTGCTCTCCAGGATTGTTTCTTTGGAAACCAGTCTCTATGTTGCTTTCCAAATTGACATCCTTGACATACATCTTTGATTTCTTCTAGGTATGGAAGACCATGCACCATATTTTTCTCACTGAGTTGCTGCAACCCCCTGAAGTTCAAATGACCTAGTCTTCTGTGCCAAGTCCGAGTAGAGTGATCTATGCTCGCTTTCAGAACCAATTGGTTGTCATGCAACAGAGAAAGAGGATAGCAACGATTTTCCTTCTTCTTGACCTTGATGACAAGATTGTCAAGTGAAGGTCCATCAAATACACTACACAAACCTCCTCCAAACACTAGATAATATCCATGCTCATCCATTTGACCTACACTCAACAAATTTTCCTTCAATCCTGGCAAATGCATGACCTCTCTAATGTACTTCTTCCCTTTATTAGTATCAATTTCCAATGAGCCCATTCCAGCAACATTTACTAACACCCCAGTAGGCATTTGCACCTTTCCAGCAACATTTTTTCTTATATCTACAAGGAGATCAGCATTCCCTGTCATGTGGTTACTACAACCACTGTCAATGTACCAATTTCCATTGACATTTTTCTCTGAAATTGCACTATTAGCATAGAACAGATTCCCTGTCACTTCCACCTGATTTGCAGAATTTGCCTTTTGCACAATCTTCCCTATAGTGCATTCTCTAGCCCAATGACCAAACTTATCACAGTTATAACATTTGGGCTTCCCTTTATATCTACATTCACCAAAATGGAACTTAGAGCACACTCTACACTGTGGTTTGGTACTCTCTTGACCCATTGACTGTGTCTGGTATGAATTGGATGCAGGGCTATTGAGAGGTCTCTGTTGAAATCGAAACTTTGGATCCCATTTCTTTCCCTTGGGATTCCAATTCTTCTGAAATTTTGATGAACCAGATTGAGCTCCATTCCTATTCTGCCCTTGTGGACTCACTGAGAATGATGCAAATGCCTTCTCAGTGGTATCAACATTATGTAGATCAAACCGTTGTTCTTGACTCTTCAAGATTGCAACAACTTCCTGCAATTCTACAGTCTCTAGACACTTTGTATTTTCTATAACCAAACAGATCGAATCATAAGGTTTACTTAGGCTTATTAGAACCTTCTGCACAAGTCTCTCATTAGAAAGAGATTCACCAAATGCTCATCTGATTAATTAAGTCATTCAGCCTTGTGAGATAACTAGATAAGGATTCATCATCTCGCATTCTAGCATACTCAAATTCTCTTCTAAGATTTTGAAGTTTTACAGATCTAACCTGATCACCACCATGGTATTCACCATACAGTAGATCCTATGCCATCTTGGCTGAGTCAGCGTTTGCAATCCGAGGAAATATCTGATCAGAGACTGCGTTTTGTATAATTCCCAGAGCCTTTGCATCTCTCATTAGCACTGCCATCATTTCTTCATCACGATCGTCTTCCGATGACCCTTCAGCTTCCTTCTTCTTCTTCTTTGAATCGGGTGTTGGCAATCCCTTTTCTACCAGATTCCATAACCCAATGGATTTGAAGATTGTTACCATTTTAATTCTCCAGAACTCATAGTTCTCACCGGAGAAGATTGGAGTTCTCACCTCCGAGCCTCCAGATCCAGACATCTTGCAATCCTTTCGTGAGCTTCGATTGAGCTCAGTGACCTCACAGATTTACATCCAGATTTTAAATGGCGCAACCTGGCTCTGAGGCCATGTTAGTGTTTTTGACAATGGAAGAAGGAGGAATGCACTAAGAATGTAAATGGCTGCTATTCTCTCTGCAAGTCGCAGAGGAACCTTTTGTATATATGTTGTTCTCTCTCTTTTTCACACACACACATGAAAAGGAAATAAAACAGTTAACAAAGCTTGGCTGGATCTTTCCTTCTAGTTAAAATGATCACAGCCACTCATCTAGCAATAGCTAGGATCATCACACATGGCACTCATGACCTTACATATTTTGATCTTACACTTGGCAATTTCTAAGCACAAGTGGATACACAAATAAAGACAAGATTATTCTCAAATACTAATCAGCTCATGGCTTATAGTTCAACAAGTGATGCATTCCTCTTTGAGACTAAATGTGTAGTAAAAGTTTTTCATATCTCCTCTCTTGCCAGTTCTCATTCCTTATTATATTTTTAGGCACTAAGAGAATCTCATCGGTATGCAAGAACTATTTTAATGTTACTATATGTCGGATATTGAAGCTGGTCTTGGTTTGAAGAGGAACCGCTTGATTGTTCTCTCTCTTTTTGGCTGAAAATGACCACGATTTAAGTGGGGTTCAAGGCGTTGGGCTTCATACAGCTCCTTGTTTTGCCCAAACGTTTACTGAAGATGAGATATTAAACAGGTATGATACTAACTGGTTTTATACATGGTTTCTTTTTTGCTTAAAATTTTTTTTTGAAAAAAAAAAAAATTAAAGATTCAATTTCATAGGTAATGACAATGGTGATGCTTCTCTCTTTCAATGTGGTATGAAATTTGTGGATAATAGTGTACCCAACTTGGATGAAAGCCCATCAAAGACAATTTTCTCATTGATTTTTTTGTGGGCATCCCTGCAGCAAAAGAGCTCTTTTGAAGTCTTCCTGTGAATTCTTTAGCAACGGAGTTGGTGAGGGCTGCATGAAAAAGCCAAAGAGGGTTTCAAATGCAGTTGCTCTTACTGTGATATGGTACATTGATCAAATCACTGAAATCTCCTTATTTTATATTTAGTAGTTGTTGCAGCACTGATATTATATTCAATTTTTTGTGTTATCTGCTACCTTTTTTAATCTCAATATCCCTTTTTTTAATCTTTCTTTTGTTTGTAACCCTTTTTTGCTGAATTATTGTTTTTCGAATTGTTTTGAGGAGTTGAAATTTGGTAATTTAGTGAGCTTTTATGTGCATTTTTAGTTTGGTTCTTATTTGAACTGAATTGAATTTGTAAGAAGTATTTTGGCATAACACAAATTTTATATGAATCCAAGTTTATCAAGAATAGTAAAGGACAGAAAAGAGTCTGTTGTGTTTGGTGTAAAGTTAATTTGTTTGTATTCAAATATGAAGTACAACTTTTTTCTTACGTATGAGACCGAATTGGTTTCAGCATGATTCAAGTCTCAGTACAGCTGGATATTTGTTTGCTCACACAGATTTTGTGCATACCTTGATGCGGTTTTATATAAAAATTACTGGATTTTATTCATCCTGAATTCACTTTTGTATAATTCCACCTACATGCCATGTTTAAATGATTAGTCAATGGATTTTGTTAAAAGTGTTGCATGTAAAGTTCAGACATGCAAGATTGTGTGATCAGACCTCAAGAAGAGAGCTTGAGCAGGGATTTAGACCAAGGGGACCAAGGCATAGTCTTGAGAGCTCCAGAGGATTAACTTGAGGAATGCGTCGATACAAACTTTTGTGTATAACAATCTACCAAATGTTTTCAATGTAAATAGTATTATTGTTTTGCATCACAATCTTTTATATCTTGCACACATTATTTTTCATATAGTTTTCAATCCCGCAGCAACGCGAGTACAAATTTCTAGTTTGAACTAAATTCGAGTGTAGTTTTGTTTTTTTTTTTTTTTTATCAACTGAGATTTTCAATATAACAGCCAAAAAAGCAAAATAAAAAAAACAACATAGCAATGCTTCGTTACACAGCAGGCTCCCTCACGAGTTATGCAACACCAAAGCATCACTAATCTAGACACAAAGACACCAAAAGAAAGGTAGACGGAGTACTTACGCTCTGACTAACCTTGATTTACATTACTTCGACTGTAGTTTGTTTCTAATGAAATACACATTATTTGCTAGGGAATCTAGCATATTGTTTATATTAGTTAACCAAAGATACTGATCACATGATGCAATCTTAAATGCAACCCACAATCCCAAATCAAATTCACCCAATTGCATGTGAATCACAACACATGCAAGGATGCAAGATCTCTTAGAAAATGGGACCCCGGGCCATTTTACAATCACAATTTCCCCACATGTAGTCACATGATGGGTATGGCATGCCATCACAATTGTCACACCAAATAGCCGGAAAAATCCCATATTTATTTGTAGAAAAAGACACTATTAATCCACCATTAATCAAATCTTTCTTCCCTCTCTAAATGGTTTGAAATGTAAAGGTTAAAAAAAAGGAAGAAAAATCATTACCCAACTCAAAATTCAGTACCTTTGGGTTTGAAAAATACTAGACAAGTCACAATCCCACTAAACAAAATACACTGTTTAACCACCATGGGGTGACTCAATGGTTGATGACGAATTTCAGACCCGTATTCCACATGGCACACTTTGGATTTGATTCATGTCGCTGGTGAATCACGAGTGTGGCCAAGAAGAGACTGAAATGCCTCTATGAGTCTTCTCGACCCCCAAAATGATGGATTGTCTGGTTCCCCTTTAAAAAAAGAGAGACGCACCTTTAACTCAAAATTCAGTCATATATAATTCAATTTTTTGAGGCCATTTTGGTGTAAAAGGGTACATTCTCATTAAACGGATTTTTAGTTTGGAGTCTAAAATTTTTGGGGACCAAAATGAAACTACAGTAAAAGTTTTGAGTTCAATTCTAAATCTTATACATTAAGAAAAATGAGACAAGTCACATATTTACCAAACAAATGAGGACATATAAAGTTATGAATAATAATTGTGTTCCACTAATGGGAGAATCTATTTCTCTCACATTGTTTATGATTAACGTATCTTCATTATACAAACCTCATAATCGGAACCATTTATAATCGTAATTCAAATGGTTGCCGGACATTTTGGTATGCAAGGAAAGGATACCGGTTGTATATCCTCTAGAAAGAAAAAAAAAAAAAAAAAAAAAAAAAGGGCTTAACCAAATGTTTTTGTTTTCTGTTTTTTTAGTTCAAATAAGAGAAAAATGGGAGAACAAAAGAAAATTAATAGAGTTACATGAAAAACTAAAAAAACAGGTTTTGACTATTGTTTAGTTGTATGCATGTATATTCACCCTCCTTTCTTTTTGACCTCTATCATCTCTCATGTTCCCTCCTTTCTTTAACCAAAAAACTTAAACAAAAAACAAAAGTAAAACAGTGATTCCCAACTACCCTTATATATACACACACACACACACACACACCAACACAAGCAAGCACCAACAAAAATTCAAACACTTAAGAACCAAAACTTGCTCATCATCTCTTTCAAAAAAGAAAAAAGCTTGGTCATCATCTCAATGGCAGAGCTAGAGAGCCCAAGAGTGATGACAAAGATCATAACTTTTCTCTCTTCTCTGGTTCAAAGAGTGGCGGAATCGAATGACCTCAACAGCCATTTCCAACACCAGAAAATCTCAGTCTTCCATGGTCTAACTAGACCCACCATTTCAATACAGAACTACCTAGAGAGGATTTTCAAGTATGCCAATTGCAGCCCGTCTTGCTTAATTGTTGCGTACGTTTATCTGGATCGGTTTTCGCAGAGGCAACCCTCGTTGCCTATCAACTCATTCAACGTTCATCGGTTGCTGATTACGAGTGTCATGGTGGCTGCAAAGTTCATGGATGACATGTAAGTCCTGAAGTTGAATTTTACTAGCTCATGAGCACAATTATTTGACAAAAAATAAAAAAATAAATAATCTGTTCTAAAGGTATTCAAAAAGATTTTGCAATTGTTTTGGTGGCCATACATTCACTTGCATCCTGTCCATCAAATTATGCAACTTTTAGATATTATATATGCTTCATGCATGAATGTAGATGAAAAAAAGAAAATGAATTTCACTGTGTTTTTCTTCGATGGGTTTTACCTTGTTAAGCGTTCTGTGTCTGTGGTATAGAATTCTCGGTACTGTTTTCTAATCCGGATTTTTGCTTTTCATAATTTCAAAAAAAAAAAAAAAAAAAAAACCTTTTAATTACTTGGAAAAAAAATATTAGAGGCAGTTACCTCATAGACAGAATTTGATCCCTCATTTTAATTAAATGGAAAATTTTCAGAACAAAAATGCATAACCTTGTGGTTTGGGTTGTAAAGTTTCCAACAATGTTCTAAAATCCAGCCATGTGATACCCTGGTTTTTCCTATATAAATGGAGTGTCCACCTAGCTGTGCACATGGCGACCTAATATAAGTTTTGGTCGATTATATAAAGTCAATAACATAATATGGGGAAAAAAATCGGGCGTCCCTGACGGATTATGTTCATACGAGTGTGATCATGTGATGACTAAGATACTTCACATGGAGATATATCCTTGGTAATTAGGAAATATGTCTTCTTTATATGCATATCATAAGCCAGGTAGTCAAAATTTCTCTAATGTTTTTGTAATGATAATAACTTTTTTTTATGTTGAAGAATTAACTAATATCTATTATATTTATCTGGTGTGCAATTTCAGGTACTACAACAACGCATATTATGCAAAAGTTGGAGGAATAAGCACAATAGAGATGAATTTTCTTGAAGTGGATTTCCTGTTTGGTTTGAGCTTCAACTTAAACGTGACTCCCTCAACCTTCACCATCTACTGTTCATATCTCCAGAGAGAGATGCTTCTGTTGCAACCACCTCTAGAGTCTGCAGATTCTTCTCTTACTTTAGGCAAATCACCAAAGCTCCACTTGTGCTTTGATGAGGATGAAACCTCCCATCAGCAACAACAACAACAGCAGCAGCTAGCTGTTTGACATTAAACCCTTAAAAAGGTGTCCAAAAAGTAGTTGTTGAGGTAGTGATTTTTGTAATTTTCTTATATTGTTGGCCTGGCAAAATGAACATTAGATTTTTGTGTACTTCTTCTCTTCTCTTTTCTTTATGATTGTTTAGACCATATTTGGGTGTAAGACAATCCCTTTTACTTTTTACATGACGACGTAACAATATGTACTGAAGTGGTGCTATCCACATACTTCTTTTTATCTTTTATACATCCTCTCAATTTTCGATTGTCGGATCGAACGAATTGAAGAGTATCATAAAAATAAAATTAACAACGGTGTATAGAAGGTAAAAAGGGTGAGTGAATAGCACCACCTTAATTATTTACTATACAAACATCGTAACCGGAACTACTCTTTCTCTTATCATCATCATCCTCATCATCCAAAGATAATTTGTTATAAAATTTAATTTAATTTAGAAACCATTTAGTCTTTCATTTGTACCAAACAAATCGACAATTGTGGTATTCTTACGATGAGATTTATATGGATGATTAATTCATCTCCAAATCAAATGAATTTTTAAAGAAATGTTCTTAAGATATTCACAAAGAGAATGAAGGAATCTGATTACAACATTTATATATTAAAATAACAGTATATTGTCCTTTAAATATGTAAAGATGTAAAGAGGCTGTCATATTTTTTAGTTTTGTAGTTGAGATTTTTTAGAATGTTGAGATGAATCTTTGAATTTACAGTCCGGAAAGCAATGCCTCTAAATTGGCTTTAATGGCTGATATATACTCGTTTCGTTCTTATCCATGAATGTTTAGGATTCTTGTTTTAACTTAGGGTTTGCCACCAGAAGATCCATAGCTGGCCATGCAATGCAAGGCAATTTGCTGATATTTACTTGGTCACGATTTGGAAGGAGGATGAGTGGTGAATTTTAAACCTAATTTGGTGACATGGGTAGGTCCGGCTCACCATAAAAATAATAGTGTGCAAAAGAGTACTGTTTTATTTTTATTGTAGTTATATTTAGTGTTGACAGTTGTAATTGTTGGACAGTTGTATTGATCTTGAGATAGGAACAATGAACATGTGCAACCCCTGGGCCACTGTTCGG